AGTGCCGAGTCATCGTCACCCCCAGTCCAGTGGGGCAGCGTTAACCACCAGACCGTTCGTTCATCCACGAAGGTGCCCGGTTGAAATGACGGGTTTAAGTTCAACTCGGAGAGTTCGACCGGTTCTGAAAAATGTAGCTGGGATGGGAGATTCGAACCCCTGACTTGTGGCGCACGGAGCCGACTCTCTACCGGCGCGGCTACGGCGCCACAGTGCGGGTGGCCGGGCGAGCTAGGCTCAAGGCACGAGTCACCGCAGTAGCTTGAGCGGGAGAAGAACCGGTTCCATCACGACACCCTTCTCACCTGGGGCTTCGAGACCGGCCTCGTGGCTCTTTGAGTTCGCTGCGATATTTGAACTCTGAGTCGGGGGTTCTAATACTCGACGCGCCGTTAAATTATTCGTTTTCAAGTTTGAGTTTTTACGCATTGTACGAGAAGCTCGACTAGTTAGCAACCCGCGCTGGGGTTCGAGTCCCACCTGGGACCCGGCTGGCCCGCCTTTTTTCTCTCTCTTTCTTTCCCACGCCGCGTCGTCAGCCTGTGTTCTAGTCGGGGTGCTACGAGTGCGGCCCCTTAGCCGAGTGCGTAAAGGTGTCGGGGCGGTGACTCCCGGGCCATGCGTTCAAGCCCTGCCGCCGGCCCTCTTTTTATTTTTGTTAGGTGAGCAAAAGAGGAAGAAATCGCCTGACCCAGCTACCGGTGGGACTCGAACCCCCGTGAGTTGGATGGAAGCTTTTTTTTCTTGTAGCATTCGAACAGGGCGGCCAACAAATAAAAAAAAAAAAAAAAAAAAGCGGCGGCAAGGCTTGAACCCATGACCCGGGAGTCCCCGCCCCGACACCTTTACGCACTCGGCTAAGGGGCCGCACTCGTAGCACACCGACTAGAACACAAGCTGACGACGCGGCGTGGGAAAGAAAGAGAGAGAAAAAAGGCGGACGGCCGGGTCCCAGGTGGGACTCGAACCCCAGCGCGGGTTGCTAACCAGTCGAGCTTCTCGTACAGCGTAAAAATTCAAACTTGAAAACGAATAATTTGACGGCGCGTCGAGTATTAGAACCCCCGACTCAGAGTTCAAATATCGCAGCGATATCAAAGAGCCACGAGGTCGGTCTCGAAGCCCCAGGTGAGAGGGTGTCGTGATGGGACCGGTTCTTCTCCCGCTCAAGCTACTGCGCTGACTCGTACCTTTAGCCTAGCTCGCCCGGCCACCCGCATTGTGGCGCCGTAGCCGCGCCGGTAGAGAGTCGGCTCCGTGCGCCACAAGTCAGGGGTTCGAATCTCCCATTCCAGCTACATTTTTCAGAACCGGTCGAACTCTCCGAGTTGAACTTAAGCCCGTCATTTCAACCGGGCACCTTCGTGGATGAACGAACGGTCTGGTGGTTAACGCTGCCCCACTGGACTGGGGGTGACGATGACTCGGCACTGGGGTCCC